GCTGGCTCGTAGGAGGTCTCCTGCTGCAAAGTTCAATGCTCAAACTACCAGGACGTGCCAGAATGAAGGCTGCCTTGGGCTTTACCTGGGATCTTTCATGCTTAGTGTCCCAATCCCAGCTTCCCTCTGTGGCCTCAGGAAACGGCACCTGCTCATTTGCCTTCCCTTGTTCTCGTGGCTTTTGCACCCGCTGCTGGGTAACTGCAGCCAGAGTTGTGAGAGCACATTTCTACGTGTTTTGTGAAAACAGATGGCTGGGAAGAGATGCTGCCAATAAAGAAACTGCAAGTGGCGAGCGCAACCCTTAATGGGACACCGGAGAATCCAGACAGGGCAATGATGGCACACAGAGAAGGCTCCGCTTGGAGATTGGGCCCAAAGACAATGGCCCTCAGACAAGCCCAGCCAAACCAGGCTTCCCACCAGCAGCTCCCAGCACCGCGGGCTGGTCTCTGCCCTGCTCCTAGCACCCATTCCCTCCACACCCCTCTGTCCAGCAGCACCCAGCCCCTCTCCCCACCCAGGTGGGGATGGGGACCAGGGTCAGTCCAGGAAACCACAGAAATCTCAATGTCTCTGCTTGCCCAGGGCCTGATTTTCTTAGTTATCTCCCTGATGTAGGTCCCAAGATGACCCCCTGGCCCCAGCTCAGTTCAGCTCAGCTCAGCACTACCAGCCAAGCACCGGGGGTCTTGCAGCCCCCAGCAGCCATCCAGGATAGGCATTTTGCCCAGCCCACAGCACTGTCATCTCAGCGAAGAAGCTGTTTTGCTAGCAGCAGGACCGGGTTTCCTCTGGATTTGCTTCCTGAAGCTCTGCATCCAGGGGGATTCTCAAGTGCCTCATTAAAAGGGTTGGGCTCACATCGGCCTTCCCCCCATAGGGTGCTCCTGGGTCATCTGGGCCACCAGCATCCCTAAATCTCTAGAAACGCCGTGTTTCTGAGACTTCTGCTTCTCCACCACACTTGGCTGACACAAGCCAACGGGCTGAGGAGCTTTTTGAGGGGCATACACACACTCTTCTTTTTTCTTCAGAAACGGAGCTAATTATCCTACAGCCCCTTTGGACCATGGCGATAGTATTCAGGCCAGCTCTTTCTCAAAAGCTGAATCTTCTGGGAGGTCCCATAGCTGAAGGCAGGATGGAGCTGAGAGCTGATGCTGCAGGCGCTGCAGTAAAGCCGGGGCTGCCGTCCGGGGTGTGGGTGAGGCTGCTGCTTGGCAGCGGGGCAGGAGCAACTCTTCCAGATGAGCCAAAAGCTGGACTTTGCAGGGAACAGACCCCCCCCCCATTTTGAACTGGGAACACTGGGTCCCTGCTCACTCAGGCCTCTGCAGACCAGCCAGGAGGAGACTAAACCATTTGCTGAAGCGCATCCCATTTGCAAATCATTTCTGAGGGGCTGCGGACCCCCCTGCCATGAGATCCCAGTAGTTCCCATGTCCTGCGATGTGGGTGCCGGTGCTGGGGAGCCTGATCCTGCCCTGGCACCGGGAGCAGAGCCGGGGACCTGCTTTGTGCCGGGGCCGGCCCCACCGCTGATCCATCCGCGCTCTGCCCACCCCGGCCGTTCAATGCACCCT